AAATGCCTTTAAATATAAGTAAGTCCATTTTTCTTTTGTGTTTTCCCTTGTTCTGAGCAGGTAATTAAGACACTTTTCCAATGGAATGACTTGATTATAATAAGACAAATATTTCTATTATCCTGTGCAGTGCATAATATCTAATTAACTTATTTTAAGAGATAATAAGAGATAAAATACTCATTCCATTGGCAGATCATCATTATATTATTTTCCCAGTGCGAGTTCAAACACCTACTCTGCAAAAAGAGTCAATCTAACAAAGTCTTGCAATCTCACATCTAGCTAAAAAGTCCTTTTTCATTTGATACACCCAAAAAAAAAAAAAAAAAAAAGAAAAAAAAAGCTGATTCTGATACATAATTAATCCTCTTTGGAGAAGAACTCAAAATAAGTGCAATAATTTGCCTTTGCAGTGAGACAATTACGAGAATGTTTATAAGAAAGTACCAGAAATGTTAGCCACAGTAGTGGTTGGACAAACAAAAGGATGTTTTATGAATAACTGATGTATGAGCTGGTTTAATTAACTCCATACAAAGCAGCGAGCAACACTGGCTGTGATATCTCAAACCTACCAATATTTTCACAAAATTAGCTTGTTCCTAAAACTCGCTTGAGGCAGAAAGATAAATATTTGCCAGTTATATTTTACACCTGTGGTGGGGACAACTGTATTTATATAAAAAAGCTTAAAGTCTTGATAAGCTGCACTCAGTGGTACCTAGAAGACTTATTATGAGCAACAAAAGGTTGTAAACATCAGCTTAAAAATTTAGATGTTTCCCAATGTCTATTGATGTGTGGATTATGTATTTAATTTTATTTTACAACGGCATATAAATATTTGCAGCAATCAGTGCAAACCATCGGGGAGAGGAATGTGATGGTGAGGAATGAATTAAAATATTGCACGCCTTTTAGAATCTTAGCTGCTTATAAACCTTTTTTATTTAGACAACAGGTTCTTATTTAAAGTTACAGCTGAGCAGTGCAAGCCTATCTCACACTAATGTTTCAGATCTAATATATTTGATATGCAATTAAAGTTTTTTTATGCAGTGAAACTGAATATCGGAGGAATTTGGATCCAGTCTGGCTTCTAATTCTCTAAATCACCATCTGTGCCGCCAGTTTTCCCCTGACTCCAAAACGTACTTAGCCCATATGCACGGCTCCGTGTGATTTGAGGTGCCACAGATTTCCACGGCAGGTTTTTTTGGAAAATGGCGTGGATCAGTTTGATACTCAAACATGATGATTGAGACCCTAGGTCAGAGAGACTAGAGGACAAATATAAGGGGGGCAGGAAGAATGCAATTGTTGAAGAAAGCCATTGGAATGCCTTTCTGCACAAGGCTGCAACACGTCATTTTTGTCTGTTTTATTTCCACTTCACTTTTATCTACTGGTTTATGTCAATCTATCACATAAAATCTCAATGAAATATATTTAGATTTGCTGTTGAAAGAGGACAAAAGGAGGGAAAAATCAAATGAGGTATGAATACTTTTGAAAGGCACTTTATGCCCCAAGTTTTATCGATGCGTCTCGCACATCTATGCTAATATTTACTATTCTGTGCACCTTCATATCGACCATGAAGTCCTTTGAAGTCAGAGCTGTTTGCACAAATTGAGCTGCTGGGAATTTGGGCTTCAAAAGATTATCCAGAGCCAAAAGCAATGAAATGATGACCTTGTTTCAATAGGCTAAGATATTAAGTCATCAAAGCAATCAGGAGGGAGGTGTCTACTCACAGAGAAATCAGACGGTCCTTTAGTTTTTATTAAACAAACATTTTAAACTGCTACACTAAAGAAATTCTATGAATAAAGTGTCAAATGCTGAAAGAAAAACATTGAAATGCAATCTAAACGCTGACAGATGAACCTGAGGTGTTTTTCAAGCTCTGCTTTTCCAACATAAATTTCCAAATATCTGTGGGAAACAACCTGTTTGTAATCTTCCTGTAATGCATAACAACTTATGTATTTGTTTGAAAGCACAGTACATAAGTAACTGTAAAGAAACCCCGCAAAAATGACTAAATGGGGCTGTAATGTTTTCCATTTAGATAAAAATACCATGAATGTTTTAGATACTTTAACTACATTTGTTTTTTATTAACGTAGCTTTTGTCTAACCGCTGCATGTTCATTGAGCTACAGGAATGCAAAGTCAGCATCCAGTCACTAATATGCAGAAAAGACTATTGATCAAAGAGAAAATATTGTAGCTCGTCTTTAAACTTGGGCTCCTCCCAAATATTGACATTGAAACTAATAAAATATCCTCCTACAAAACCAGTGACACAGATTTTCTGCCTCAGAAAATACTTTTCTCTTTAGTCTAATACCCCTGAATAAAATCAATGTTTTGTTTTGGACGTTCTACCACAGCTAAGCCAACTGCATTATAAAGCACTTTAGGGGCCATCTATTGCGTTTTTGGACCGGCCCTTCAGGGCCAAATAGCGCAGAATTTCCTGAAGTTTTGTTTCTCATAGTT